AAAAAGCATAAAACTCACCAGAGAGGGCAGAAGAATCGATAGATAGCTTCACCCTACGGTTGAAATAAGGAGCAACATATTGCGTGTTTTTAGACCATATTGGACAGTTGCTCAAGGGCCTTAAACTTCACCACAAATCTCGTCATGACCACCCAAATTCTGACAAGTTATGAAAAACCTGTTACGTTCATTATGAGCAAATGTAACCATATCACAAGTACATAAGCACACTGTAAGTTCAGGCAAAGTATACTAGCCAAAACGAAGTAAAAAGGCAATATAGTAATAGTAATCTGAATAGGCGCCACTTAGTCTTTAGTAAATGTAAAAAAAAAGGAGAGAGAATACTTACCGAAAGGTAGAGCAATGCAGACTAAGCGATCCTTGCTCTGGTCTTGACAGTGTAGAACATAAACAATCATTGTTGTTACAATCGAAGGTAATTTTATAAATGATCTCAAAATATTACATCGCTGTAATATCTAGATCTGAAATGTCAATGCTTCAATTTAAATAAATTTTTAGCAAAAAGGGGGTAATCAGGGAAATTATCAATGTCAAAACAGGCAGAAAACAATGGAGCTATTCTTGTTAAATGACTATCAAACAAATGCAGTAGTTATAATTACAATTCGATATCGAAAACCAGTATGTAATCAAACGTTATATCAAGGAAGTCGTCGAAAATAAAAAATTACCTTTGAACTCTTGTTGAAACGACCTTTTGCGCTCAGAAGGGCGCTTTTCTGTCTTAACTGTAACAGATACAAACAAACAAAAAAACAAGAGGATATATTCTTCTGCAGTAACGACAAAATTAGGTATGTACAATTAGAGATATTGAAACGATAATCTCCAAAAGGTTTCGTTAATACTTTCAGTTAAACAGGAGGAGTAAACAACTTCCATGGAAGTAGGTCACCAAAAGGTAATGTAGGCAGAATCACGTGACGTAATATCCAGGTAGATAATAACGAAAAAGTACTCCAGAAGAGAAAAGGATGAGAACACTGAGCGAAGTATGAGGGAAGACAAAGGCCTCACACTAATTACTTGCAAATATAAATGCGCTAAGGGTATACAATGGAGCAGTCACAATGCATCAGAAATGGAGAGAAACGCTCCAAAAAAATATGGTGATCTCCACTACAAAAAGCCTTATTCAGAGACACAATACCTCAGGTAAAAGTAATGGTGTATCAAGAAAAATTTGCACGTAACCAATATAAAGGCAAGATGTTCTCTTCAAAGGAATAAGTACAACTGTACTCAAGACCAAATTAAAGAAGGGATAGAATTATGGAGCAAGGCGCAAAGCGTGAAGTCTAGCGACAAGAGAATGAAATCAGGTCAATGAAACCTTAACACTTGGATGACCTCTAACGTCGAAAATAAAGAACTAAGGTAATAACAAATCTACCATAGAAATAACTTACATCTTAACTAAACCGGTTACAGAAGAAATACATAGATGGCGTAAAATAAAAAATGTTACAAGCCTGAGGCTGTCGAAGGTCAGTTAATTCTGTAAGTTTGCCCTTTTGTTTTAAGGTAAGAGTAAGGTTTTAGATCTATGTAGATGCCGGTCAGCATGCACTAACATGGTTTGCAACGTTAAATATGCCCCCCCCCCCCAAATGCATCCTCAAAAGCCTCTAGTCCCCTCCCAGGATGGCAGTTTCAACTTTAATTCTTAAAAAACGTCCTAAAAATTAGTTTGTCCTTGGCATACTTACTACTTTCACTACTATCGTTCTGACGGCCATCAACCACACTGATATTGACACAAAAAGTAATTCCAAACAAAAAAACACTTACTTTGTAAATCGCAAACATGTTTCCTCTTCAGATATGAAACCAGTGTGGCACTGTATCTGGCAGATTTTAATTCCCGTTGCTTTTCCCTGAGTCATTACGCCCCCCAATATGTTTCTAGCATGATAAATGATTATACAAACATCCCCGCATACATTGGAATTCAACGGAAGCAAACACTAAAAACAAAAGTCTGACGTAAGGTAACACTTTTTAATGGAACAATACCTTTCCTTCTGATATATTGTACAGTCTCATTCGTTCATATTCCTGCAATGTCGACAGAATACAGCGATTTTCGCTGTATACCTCCACATACGGCCGACATCCATCTCTAAAAACATGCACTGTACTTCCTCTCATCGTTTACATTAACAATCACATACCTCACTTTTGTAAATAGCGGTACAGGCTGCATTTGTAAAGAAACTAGCGTGACTGGCTTATAATGTGGATAGCTGGGTGGATTTTGTACAATATCAGTCATGTAATAAAGGTATCGCAGCTCTGACGGTAGCATATTTGGCGGAATGCGCTTTACGGCGAACAGCTGCAACGCATCCTCAGGAACACAGAAAAGTCGGATATAAATTAATAATGCGCACAATATGGTTGCTGAAGTTGATTTACCATCCTAAAACGTAATTGTGTCAGTTCAACTTTACCTGTGACTCATAATTGTTTCACATTTATTAATTTTAAATTCTCACATGCTCATTTTATCAAAAACTCTATAGTACGTAAATTGTAACTCTGAACATACAAATCTCCAATGTTCAATTTTTAAATATACAAGTCAATGCAATGCCAGACAGTTATGCAACCTACCTTACATACCAATTTAACAGCAGTGTAATATACAGGGTGGCAAATTTGAAAACTTAGCACCCCCCATGTCTTATGCCCGTTTGCATCAACAAATTTAAGTAGAGCTTAGCTTAAGCGTAGCTTAAAATCCATGGCAACCATCGTCTCAATAATCGTTGCCATGGATTTTAAGCTAAGCTCCACTTAAATTTGTCGGTGCAAACGGCCATTAGTAAATAAACGAGATATTTAAAAAAATCAAAATCCGTTTCGGTAATTCGGAGGGGGAATCACAATGACATAGTTGGTGACGCACCCCCTCCAACCCCCTGCGCTCCAGCCACTCGAACTTTTAAATCTTAAATAGTGACCTCCCATGTGTGATACGTCGTTGGAAAGCTCTGAAAAAATGCTTTCCAACCATACCAAATAGCATTACATATAGGTTAGTAATTATCGTGCAAATTAAAAAATTTTATTTACTAAGACATGGGGGGGTGGTAAGTTTTCAAATTGCCACCCCTGTATATTCCTGTATAATATACAGGGTGTCAATTTTAAAACTTGCAGTCGGCCATATTTTTCAAACTAAAGAAGGTATTGAAAATCGCGGAAAACCGTTTCGGGGGTATCGAGGGGGAACCAGAATGACGTTATAAGTGACAAATCTCCACGCCCCTTAATCCCCCAGCCCCCCTCTTCAAAAATTCTAAATGGCAACCCCATACTTGTGACACATCGTTGGAAAGCTACTGAAAAATGCTTTCCAGTGGTACCAATAAAGTCAATATTCATTAAGACAATTTAACAAAAATTTAATAATTAACAAAAAAAAACTAAATGTTGACATTGAGGGATTTATGGCAAATTGGCCAAGAACTTCAACCTGAGCTGCTTCATTAAGCAATATTGGTTGCTTTCTTTTTTTATTGATAACAGATCCCGTTTCTTCGAATTTAGCGACCAAATCTTGAAGATAGGCATGGCTTAATTTTTATTTTTTTTGTTAATTATTAAATTTTTGTTAAATTGTCTCAATGAATATTGAGTTTATTGGTACCACTGGAAATCATTTTTCAGTAGCTTTCCAACGATGTGTCACAAGTATGGAGTTGCCATTTAGGATTTTTTAAGAGGGTTCTGGTTCCCCCTCGATACCCCCGAAACGGTTTTGCGCGATTTTCAATATCTTCTTTAGTTTGGAAAATATGGCCGACTGCAAGTTTTAAAATTGACACCCTGTATAAGAAAATTAGTAGTTATTTTAGATATATATTACTGTACTTATTAACTGTGAAACTCAAATTTATTAAATAATTCAGATATTTACGTTTATTAAAAAACATTTGAAAAAGATGAAAGTAGGTACGATTGGTTGCAGATCTTAAGGGGGACTTGTATATTTAAAAATTGAACATTCAGAGTTAATTTACGCATTGTATATAGGTAGTTCTGTCTAAATTGTACCTGCTCTTAGCAATGATACTTGTGTACTTGATTTAAAGCACCAATTAGAATTTGAAACCTTGACCATTTGTATATGTTCATCGCTCACTTACCATACAATGAATAACGCAAACATTCCTGCTATCTCCAGATAGATACTGGTACATATCTTCGCACAATTGGTACAAAGAATTTAATAGCGGCGCCTTAAAGTGTTCAGGATATGCAAAGCCGCAATCGATAACTCTAGCCTGTCCAAAACGTGAATGATATGATCGGCCTGAGACATTGTATATAGAGTACTTAAAGTTTGGATGCCTCGAATCTAGAAATACCCGCACGTCCTCGATGTGATTAGTACGATAAGCCGATTCTAAGCCCTCCGATGGGAAAGGCATCACCAAAATTCTAGATGTCACATATGTAATGTCTAAATCTGTGCGTGCAATAGACCTAAAATCAAAGCTTATAGTTTTATTTCGACACCAATACTAATAAACCTACTGCTGCATAGTCTGCATGACTTTTGAACTTGTATCTTTTAAATTTTTCAGAAAACTACCCGCTCCACCTTTGATCGACGAAAATAATCCCGCACTTTGCTTGGGATCGGATTGATTTTGCATTGGTGCCTTTGCAATGGAGTCAGGGTCTCTTTGTGGCCTCTAGTATTTCGTTTTTAGTTTTACAAATATCAAAACAGAAAAGTATTACCGGTGGCGCTGGCCTGGCCGGCTGATGGGCGGGTGAAGGGGGAGGCGGTCGCGTGGGTACCTTGCTAACGTGGTTGCTATCACCTTGACCCACATGAATATCTGAGTTGCTAGATTTAAGTTTAACATTTAGGGATGCTTTCAGATTGTAGCCTTTTGTTTCAGCTAATGCAGCAATTTGTTCCAGTACTCCTACTATTGTTGGTCTGTCGGTGGGGCAGATCTGAAGACATGATTCTGAAACATTATAACAATATTATAATTTGTACAGCCGACAACAGCGACTGTACAAGTGCCATATCATGTTTGTCATCGGACGTTGACATATTTTTGTCAAACCTGTTCAATGATTACCAAAATACAACAGCTTGAAATTGGTGCACATATGCCCGATGGGCATGCGCGTCTTGTACAATTGACATACGCACAGCAGTCGGAATTCGAACGTGGCAATTATAAACTGATGCTCTTCGGTATTGCATCTTTCTTATTCTTTCTAGTTCTGATTATTACGGGTAGCAAACAACTATGCGATGTTACTCATCTGTATTGAAACTAGTACCCCGCACCTCTAAAGTGAGCATAAACCCCGTGCCAAATTCGTGGCAGAACAGCTTCCTAGCTCAAACCAGATAATAAAAAAACAAAATTTTAACAAAATTGAAAGTACCGTTTTGGTCGACAAACATATTTTAGTTTTTTTCATGTAGACGTTATTTTGATCTAAACACCAAAAATAATGACGGGACACCCTGTGTACGAGAATATTTGAATTTATTAAAGCAAATCTGGGGGGATTATTTACGAAATACGCACAGAGTTGGTTCGTTTCAGTTGAATTTTCATCTTAGTGTTGATTTTTCCTTTTAAAAATGTTGTAAATGCGTAATTTTTGTTTAAATTCTATCACTTTTATTCAATTCAAATTAGGTGTTTCCCAGAATTGCGCGTTTCACATTGGAGAGGTGGGGTCGTTTGGTGCGTTCCGTCGTTGATTGGCCAGTTTTTAAAGAAGTAGCTTATTTGATGGTGGAAGTGTCGCTGCTAGTTTTCGCGACGGTTGAAAAGCGTGTACATCTGTTTACGCTAAATCTTGAGCAGTCAGCATAAATCTGTGCAGAAGCAAGTTATTCAAAGTTGAGTGAGAAGTTCAACGCGTTAGTTGAAAAAGCAAACAGTGTAGTACAGCGACGCTGATTGTTAAGGTTTTCTTATTAAAAGTTTTCTACCGTCCAAACAGCTACCAAAATTTGTCATCAAATTCAACAAGAGTTAAGTGCGCCTGAATACCGCAAACCTTGTACGACCAGATTTATTTGTCGACCGCTTGCGTGCGGGGTAATATGTCCAAACGAGGTTTGTAAGCTTTTCTTTCTTTCAAGGATTTTGTTTTAATTTTTTTTATGTGTTTGTCCCTTACGGAAGTGGATGAAACGTTGACTTTTCGTTCAACATTGACACAGTCCTACCCTGGAAGTTGCTCCCATCCTAAGTACATAACTGTGCCTATCACTTCTCATGAGTTTTGCAGTGAATATTATATTTCTTTGAAGTGTTTATCTCTATTTCTAATGTGTTGTGGCTGCTCCATTGAATACGCTGAACGGATGAGGTGTGAGGTATGTACAGGGTGGCCAACTAAGAATGCGAGGTACTGTATCTGAGAATCTATCCATCGTAGAGGCTTGCGGTAAAAAAATTTTATACTAAAACGGCCACGAGAAAAACCTGGAAAATATTTTTAAGTTTCTGGAATGACCCCTAAGGGACGTAACTGCAATCTGGAATCTAAAAAAAGTGATTTTTCTGTGAATTCCGCTATATTAACCTAACAAAAAAATGTTCGGTCTTTGAAGTCGACGATAATCTGAACAATTTTTGTTGAACAATTTTTCCTGTATCTCTAAAAAAGAAGTGGTGGGGGGTATTCAAAGGTTTCCGTAAAGAACACCCTGTATCTTCGAAACGGCTTAGCCGATTTAAACAAACTTACCTCATTTTTAGAGATACAGGAAAAATTGTCAAACAAAAAAGGTTCAGATTATCGTAAACTTCAAAGACCGGACATTTTTTTGTTGGGTTAATATAACGGAATTCACAGAAAAATCACTTTTTTAGATTCCAGATTGCAGTTACGCCCCCTAGCGCCCATTGCAGAAACTTAAAAATATTTTCCAGGTTTTTCTCGTGGCCGTTTTAGTAATAAATTTTTTTACCGCAAGCCTCTAAGATGGACAGGTTCCCAGATACAGTACCTCGCATTCTTATTTGGCCACCCTGTACATATTATATTTCAGCATTATTCTTAATACATATTTTTTAGGGCTTTGCCTTCTCTGCGAAGTTTCTATCATCGTTTTCTCTTCTAGATTACTTTGTCGTTATTATCTACCTCAGTATTTCTGACCCAGAATCTGGATGACTTCGCATGGACCCGCTAGATTGACATTGGCGACGTCACGAGGTACGTACATTACTTGGTGATCTACTTGGATAGAAGTTGTTTACACTTCAATATTGTTTCTATTTAACTGCAAGTATTAACGAAACCTTTTGGAGATTATTGCTCTTATGAATTGTTTTGCTATTTCTTATTTTACGTACGTCATTTTTTGTCGCTAGGAAGAATATACCATCCGAAACCCGATCTTGTCTACTTTATACTGTTGTAACGTAAATGGAATTATTGCTTCTTATTGAGTGTTAATTGCGGTTTTAATATGCAAGTTACCTGATTAGTGTCAAACGTTAGACATTGCTAACGCAATATTTATGTGCCGCACTATTCACTATCTCTCTTGTTTTTTTTTGTTTGTCTTTATCTGTTACAGATAAAGCAGAAAAGCGCCCTTCTGAACTCAAAAGGCCGTTACAACTAGAGTTTAAACGGTAATCTATTTATTTTCTACGACACCCTGATATAACGTTTGATTACATTTAGTTTTCAATACAATCGAATTTTACCTACAGCCTGTTTTGAAACGATGATTCAGGTTAATCAATAATTAAAAATATTAGAATGTTAACCGCCTTTGATTATAAGGTAAGATGTCACAAATACAAAACCATAACCACAAACTATATCATACATATTCTTCGCCCATAAAACCCTGCTGCTCCATTAGATAACAGCCTATGTACTTTCATTTCCGTGAAAGGGGGTGGCATAATATTTTAAATATCAATGTAAAATCTGAGGTAAAATCATGATTAAAGGGACATAAAATTCTCCAATGTTGGACAGGTTGAAAACTATAAACTGGAAAAGAAGTAAGAAAATAACTGAGTACAATTTTCAGTAGCTCTTTTTTTTCCTTGTAATCAATGAAGACCCTAGAGCTACTCTCGAGTTTGAATGTTTTTAACGTTTTGTTTAAATTTCACTTTTTTGTGTTGTATTTATGATTGTTTAATCGATTTTCCGAACCACACACACTCTCACTAGACAGGTTTGTCACTTGACGATTATGTGCCATGGAGTATTTAGATCAACTGCAAGAAATTCTTTAATTGCTCTGTTCTTAAAACATTTAGTGCCCCATGTGATATTGTTGAAGCCTAGCATGATACAAGCAGATAATCAGTTGTGCATTTTTAACCACTTATTCCATTCAAATTGACCCCATTTCAAGCTTTACCATAACAGGGATATCTCCGTTTCTTGTATGTGAATATATTTGTTTCTATGGAAACTGACAAGAAAAAAATATCATAAAAATATCTCAGTAAACCTTCTGGTTACTTTGGTTCAGAAATATTACTCAGATACTTACTTATGATGCCATGAAAACAGGAATATTTTTGATCTTGAGGAAGAGAATAGTTTGCATTTAGTATACGTAACTTAGCACCATCTTCAAAGGGATGCCTCATATAGCATAAAGTGTACAATATACATCCCAAGGCCCAAACATCGACAGGAGCCCCAATATAATAATTATTCCATGTGTCTACCATTTCAGGAGCTCGGTACATGGGCGTTGTAAATTGTGCAAGCTAGACGCGAGAACTTTAATTATTATATTATTACGTATCGGGCTCTACCGTCTCTTCCAAAGTAGATCTTTGATTTGCGGACCAAGATTCATCAGGCTGGTGTACTTCAATTGTTGCCGAACCAAAATCGCATAACTTCACAGTGTCATCGCTTGATATTAAAATATTCTCTATTTTTAAGTCACGGTGTATTATTGGCGGTGACTGGCTATGCATATGGCACACTGCTCTACAGGTTTGATAAAACAAACAAGCTATCGTTTCGGGATCAAATGGTCCATTTAACGATTTCAGTATGTCGACTAATGAGCCCCCTTAAACACAAAGAATAAACTTCCCGAAAAATTTGAATTCCCAAAGCACCTGAACATAATTCGGTAACAAGTAAGTATTCCGTTTGTCCGTGACTGGTTTGATTCTTTTCAATTACAGATGTAGATAAATATTGTATTATGTTGGAGTGTCCCGTTAACTTCTTCAAAATGTTAATTTCTTGTAATACATTTCTTTTTCGCGCCTCATCGGCAGCAAGCAACCGCTGTAACTTTCCTTTGTTGAACTTATAAGAAACCGTAATTTTACCTTAAGAGCGTATTCCTTTCCTGTGGAAATATCTTGCGCGACAAAAACTACAGCGAATCCTCCTAAATTAAAGCAATGAAAGGTTAGTGGGTGTCCTAAAATAAAATCAATATTCTACACTCACCTTCAGCAATTACTTTTTGTATCTTCAGTTTAACGTTGGAAATTTCAATTGTTTGTCCTATAAAGCCGTTCTCAACCGTGTCATTACTGGGTGTAGTAAAGTAACCGAAAGCCGATTTAAATAATTCACTCATTTTCAAATAATTCAAATTTTACATGTACATTGCAGCTTTAAAGATTACTACCGCATTCGCAGATGACAGAACACCCACAACACAACATCCACGAAATGATTTAGGGAATTTGTTTTTCTAAGGTTTACGTCAGAAGATCTTTTCTAAAGGTTATGTATATACAGGGTAACTATAAAATCACAATATAAAGATGTGTAGTCATAGATGTCATCAATCCCTGGATTTTCTAGATACAAATACACGACAAGGTTCAATTCACAGTGCACCACGGACCTGTTATTTTTAGTAAGAGGTCCGTGCAGCGCACCTATTTGCATTTATAGTAGCGAAAGTCTTTACGCGGAAAAGATTCCTTATTAAATCATGCTTTTGTTTGTCTGTCCGTCTGTGTTGGAGTACGTAATCATATTTGATAACCACACAGCGTCATCTTATTATAAGTTGTTTGTCATATATGTTATAATAATTAATTTAATCATTGTGTCATTATAATATAGTTGCGTTATGCTGTATTAAATTGATTTTCGTCTAAAACAAACTCATTCTGCTAATATTCTCACAGATTGTAAAGTGCGTGTTTGAATTATAAAAATCAGTGGTCCTTTAAGAGCTCAAACTCAGAAGGCCTAACTTATTGTCGGCGAGCAAAATGGTAGCTAGGTATGTATACCTACAATGTTACCGCATGAAAATCTAGATTAAAGAATGTGGACTGAAGCTGTCAACACCGCGCAGTCTATCTGAAGAATAGATCACCTCACAAAGCTGTAAAAGGGTAAAAAAGGATGCACGCCAGAAAAAAGTAGCCAGGAATTCAGGATTGAAGATTGATCTAAAACATTTATTTAGTTATTATTATCCCTCTTGTTCTGGGCCCTCAACAGGTTTACGCCCAATGACAGAGTAATAATAATAATAATAATAATAATAATAATGTCTTTTATTAGTTACATCTTGCAACAAAATGTATAATAGATTAAAATAAAAATTCGTGTAACTAAATTGGGCGAAGTTCAGATGACAGTGGTGAAACCCACTGCCTCTGCTCTTCCACTTCACCCAGTATATTACTTACATTATAAAGGGATGACACATGGCTTCTAATTATAAATAATAAAAACTAAACAATGAAAATTATTGTTGACCAGTGCGGTACAAAAATTATGAATGGACGTAGCGAGAATGATATTAAATATAATTACTGTTATTATACATATATATGTTCCTAATCAGGTGTTCATTGGTTACGGATCTGGCGGTCAAGTATGAAACGTTGGACATGTAAATTAAATTGTTTAGGGCTAAGCTTTTTAAATGAATTTGGTAGAGCATTGTATAGATGGGCAATGTTGTAACTATAGGAACGCTCATAAAATACCGTTTTATGCATCGGCGGAGTGATCAGCATCGAAAACCTGGTATTGGTACTGAAATTGATTTTCTCATACAAATACTGTGGAGATTTATTCAGAATTATTTTGTGGTATAAGGAGGAAGCGTGCACAAGTCTCCTGTTCTCCATATTTAACCAATTTAGTTCATTTAATTTGTGGGAGACATGTGCATATCGCCTTAAACCATAAATTAATCGAATGCATGAATTTTGATTTTTTTGAATCTTGTATTTGTCAGCAGCATCTAAACATGATCCATAAAGAGTATCACAATAAGTGAATTTAGTGAATTGCGATAGAACCAGTGACTCACAAAGCATAATTTTAAGGTGTTTACTAAGATAGAACCCATTATTGAATATTAATTTTAAATTTAAGTAGGCTTTCCTCACCATTTCAGATACGTGCTTTTTAAATCTGAGATCAGAATCTAGAACCACTCCAAGATTTTTTACTTTGTCTTGAACATGTAACGCAGTGCCCTTAACATAAATTTCTACAGCATCCTTATACCTACTTCTAATATTGCTTTTTCCAAACAACATCGCTAGCGACTTTGAAGGATTAATGTATAATCCATGTTCTTCAGACGTACGAACAATTCTGTAAATATCACAATTCATGTGCTCAATAGCCTGAGCGATGTTGTCGTGGGGAAAGTTATAATGAAGTTGGGTGTCATCTGCATATTGATGAAACTTGGCGTGTTGTAGACATTTGTAAAAATTGGAGGTGTATAATGTGAATAATAGAGGACCTAGAATAGAGCCTTGTGGGACCCCACAGCAAATTGGTAGTGCATCAGATTTAGTATTATTTACTAGTACCAGTTGCTTACGATCTTTAAGATAACTTCCCATCAATGTACTTGCATGCGAGCCTAGGCCAACATAATATAATAAATTTATTAAAATTTCATGACTAATTGTGTCAAAGGCCTTGGAAAAGTCAAGCGTTACTAATATGGAGAGTTTATTTTTATCAGTTGCTGCGAATATATCGTCCGTTAAGTTTAGGGCGCAAGTCATTAAAACTCGTAGGGCTACTGTTTTTGGGAATAGGTACCACCTTAGCAATTTTCCAAATGTCAGGAACATCAGAGTTAGATGTAAGACACGCATTGATGATATAAGTTATATATATGGAATTAGAAATGGACAGCACAACAAAAGCATGTCAACACTTATTCCATCTTCTCCAATGGCTTTGGACTTAATATTGTAAAGTATGCTTTCTATATCAAAATCGGAAATTTTTGAAAAAGTTAATGTGTTTTGAAAGTTTAACAGGCGATTATTTCTGTAAAAATTAATTAATTCTTTATTCGACTGCTGGGGTTTAAAAACAAATGCTTCATTTATTAAATTTGGTTGGCTTAAATGTGGTGGAATTGCTGCATTACAAGAAGAGTAAATATTTAAGGATTTTAATTCTTTCCACAGATTGCGTGTTTTATTAGTACGTATCATATAATCTAAATATGCTTTTTTTTCTTTATTTATTGCGTAATTAGTGTTATTCCGTAGAATCTTGTAGTAGTTCCAATGCGCTATATTTTTGGTTCTTTTAAATTTAAGTAATGCAGCATCTCTCAAAGACATCATGAGTCGTACGTTATCTGTTAGCCATGGTGACCTAGGCTTAGTTATGCGGACCGTTCTTAATGGGGCATGAATGGAGAAGATGTAATTGACACAGGAGTTGAAATAGTTAACCATATCATTAACATCCCAAAGTTCATATATGTAATTCCAATTTAAAGACCGTAACAGAGAATTAAACTGTATGTTATTAAAATGTTTAAAATCCCTGTAAGTTCTTTGAAAGGGTTTCTGTGATTTGATCTGAATAGGATATTTACAAAAAACCAACGAATGATCGGTAAAATGATGCATAGCAACAGTGCCAACTTCCACAGGGTTGATATGTGAGAAGATAAGTATAAGGTCCAATAACGTAGCAGAGGTTGCTGTAATTCGGGTGGGCTCCTTAATTACTTGTCGAAGACCAACCTCATTTAGCATGTTGGTAAATTTAATACAGTGACCCGCATAATGCAGTTATCGCACAGACGCACAGGCTCATATACCACAATTAAGAAATTCGATCCAAAGAGCAAGCAATATGTGTTCGTGGGTTACGATGAAGAACTAAAGCCTGCAGACTGTTTGATTTTGAAAAACCAGGTCACATCATCAAATCCAGAGATGTAGTTTTCTTCGACAATCAATGTCAAAAAAGGTGAACAAAAAGCCGATTATTCAAAAGAAGGATACTCACATAGAAGCGAAGAGGAGCATGAGGAAGAAGGCGAGAATATACCTATATTCCGAAGCACAATCTGGTGATGATCAGGAAGCCGATATGTTATTCACAAGGAAATTATGTACTCAGAAGATCGGAAAGAGTGGGAAAAGAAAAAAAAACTTTATCAAGACCATATACATATACCTACCGTATTTCGTATCAGAAGCGGTGAATGAAGAATCAAGCACTGTACCTGTGGCCTCGAGTGGTGATGATGCAGAAGAATGACGAAACGCAATGGATGAAGGGCACGAGTCCCTAATAGACAATAAAGTATGGACATTAATTGAAAAACCAGAAAATCTGAAGATTTTTCAATGCAAGTCGCTTTATCAATTAAAGTGCGATTCAAAGGGCGTATAAAGAGATATAAATCTAGACTATTATAGTTGCTCGTAGTTTTACTCAACACTATACAATAGATACAATCAGAAACCTTTTCACTAGTTGTTAGAAACTCTACTTTAAGAATGCTTTTTGCCATAGCGATAATTAATATGTAATTATGTATTTATCTAGAATTCACACGATTTTTTTACACACAGACGCATCCGAAGGTTTTCTTGATCAGGTCGCCAATTAATTATTTGTTAACGAATTTATTCCACTTGGCTGATACACACTGTGCAGTGTGCAGCTAGCAATAATACAACACATCAAGTGAGATTTTGCAAAAACTTACTAGACGAGACCATAAATACTATATATAGCAGACCCTGCCCAGCTGATTCGTCTGTCATGTTGGAGTCGACTGACAATTGACGTTTGGTCGTTTGCAAAACGTTCCATGCTTTGATTATGTCCTGCATGTATTGTGTGCCTTAAACAAAACACTTTCTTGTGCACAGATTTGGATTGTCAATGGGCTCCAAAATGGCTGACAAATAGCTGACGATCTGCTACCATAGTTAAGTACTGTAGTATTTTTGTGAGAGGTCACGATCTCACGAATGCTTTTGAAACTGATGGCCATTTGCACCGACAAATTTAAGCGGAGCTTAGCTTAAGCGTAGCTTAAAATCCATGGCAACAATTGTCTCAATAATCGTTGCCATGGATTTTAGGCGACGCTTAAGCTAATCTCCGCTTAAATAGGCGCTTTCTTTCGGTGATCCAAACGCGTTTGGATTGTCAAATCACGTTCTTTCGAAGTGTGATCTTATGATCATGATTGCAGCAATCATGAACAAACTGAACATAAAAGTTTTATGATCACGAATTCCTAACCTATAAATGCAAGGATATTTTTGCTCAAATGTTCGATTAGTCAATATTTGTAACTGAAGAGGGGCATAATTGTGCAAGTACTTCCACTTGTATTTAAACTATTTTCATACTCCAAACAAAAAATACGTAATTCGAATGCAAATGTGTACTACGTAAACTTATCCATACTTTGATT